GTAGGACCCAGGTAGACCATCACTCTGTAGGACCCAGGTAGACATCACTCTGTAGGACCCAGGTAGAGCATCACCCTGTAGGACCCAGGTAGACCATCACCTTGTAGGACCCAGGTAGACCATCACCCTGTAGGACCGACGTAGACAATCACTCTCTAGGACCCAGGTAGACCATCACCAGGAAGGACCCAGGTAGGCCATCACCGGGGAGGACCCAGGTAGACCATCACCCTGTGGGATCCAGGTAGACAATCACCCTGTAGGACCCAGGTAGACCATCACCCTGTAGGACCCAGGTAAACCATCACCTTGTAGGACCCAGGTAGACCATCACCCTGTAGGACCCAGGTAGACAATCACCCTGGAGGACCCAGGTAGACCATCACCTTGTAGGACCCAGGTAAACCATCACCCTGTAGGACCCAGGTAGACAATCACTCTCTAGGACCCAGGTAGACCATCACCAGGAAGGACCCAGGTAGGCCATCACCGGGGAGGACCCAGGTAGACCATCACCCTGTAGGACCCAGGTAGACCTTCACCCTGTAGGACCCAGGTAAACCATCACGTGTAGGACCCAGGTAGACCATCACCATGTAGGACTTTGCTCTGTGTTGTGAGACTGTGGCAGTCCAGCTGTGGAGGTGGTGTGTCTACTTGAACTGCTCACAGTGAGACCAAATAGAATATTACAAATGTATCCAGGCTATGCAATCAAACGTGGTCCCTAAATACTAGGATATGAGTGTGTAGATATCAGCTGGGCTCAGTAGAGCCACGGGGGGGTTTCCTGGTAGAGTTGGCCGTTGACAGATAGTTTGACACCCTCGACGACAGCCGGGGAGCCTCCTTTGATGAACTTTTTCTGGATGGGAAACAGGAGCCTCCGTCTGTCCAGGATCTCTTTGGGAAACTGGTCATTGATGCTGAAGTCGGCTCCCCTCAGCTCCCGCCCACCGCTCCTTACCAGGACCTGTTTGAAGTGCTCCAACTGGGCCGTGATGGGTCTCATCGGGTCTTCTCCCTCCCAGGCGCTGCACTCTGTGGGAGGAGACGTTCTTCACTGTGTCCTCCGGCAGCTCGAGATGGGTCTGGATGAAGCTTTTAACTCATTGGCTGCCAAAGACGTCTATAGACGTCAATTCAAATACAACCGTTCGCTGCCAAAGACGTCTATAGACGTCTTTTATGTTTTTCAACGCGAGTGGCTGGGGGGGCATATTTTCCGTAAATATCGGCTTCTAGACAGAGTATGTAGTAACAGATTGACCCTGTAGGTGGCAGTGCCACTTTTGATGGGAGATGAGCATAGA